GGTAAAAGTGGAATGATCCTACTGCCACCTCATAGTGCTCTCTGATTGCCACTGTAAGAACCTGACAACTTGTCAATGAGGTCAGCTACCAAGTCAAAGACCAAACTGACACACTGCCCCAACTCTTCTGCCTTTTCTCAACTGAAATTGCTCAGTCAAAAGGTGAAGCTATTCAGCAAACTTGAGGTGCAAATTATGACAATTACAAATAGTGAAGTTACAAGAAAAGGGCAGCTCGTTAATCCTTCAGTTTCTGGATGATCCCGATCCCATCTCTCCATTTAATGTACGTCAGGAATATTAGCTGGAATTGACACGATGAATGTGACACATTTACTACTTACACAACTATTCAGACATAACGGCATCCTCATTAAGTTACATCGCCTACTAAAGTATCACTTACTTCCTTGGTGGTGAAGATGCTGTAAAGTTCATCTGCTGGAGAGTTGAATGTTTCTCTCATAAGTATCTTCACTGTTGGAATTTTGACACCAACCATATCCAAAGACTGTGGTGATACAGAATCCTGTAAAGCAAACAACAGTCACGTGAACGAGTGCAAGACCAAACATTTTAAAATTCTAGAATGATAGGATTGTTGTTACCTGTATGGTCTTAAACATACCGTGTTGTGAATATACATTAAATAAATAGGGAAGCAGATTGTATACTTAACAGTATTATTAATCAGCGTGCACTAAATTCAGTGACAAAATTACGAGCATGTGATTTGCTCCAGAGACACCTGAAGCTAACTTTAGACTGGGGGAAGTGATCCATGCAGGTGTATTCCAGTGTCACCTTGCTGAAGCTACAGCATTACAGAAAGGGCATGAAGGGGTACATAAACACTGCTGTCCTCCATCCCCACCTGCCAGGATCCGGGATGCATCATTTCTGTGTTACAGGCCCTGATCACAGCAATGAGGAGGCGGTTCCACCCCAAAGGCTGTCACTTTTGCAGGTAATCACAGGAATATGCAATTGTTACCATAGCAAAATCTGTAGGGTAATATTTAATTAACTTAAGGTAATATTAAATTGGTACAACACTGAAAGCCGCATACCTGCACGGTGTTCCCACTCAGTTTTCGCTCAGCGGCCAGCTCCTGACCAGCAGTAGCTTTTGTTGGCAGAATCATTCCCAAGGTAAACTCTATAATAAAGAAAAGCACTCTTCAATATGAAATGGAGCTGGACAACCACCCTGACATTTCTCTAGGTAATGAAAAGACTGCTGGCCAAAACTATGGAGAATGGGATATACAATGCCAATCCAGAGTTTCCCCACCTTACCCACTTGTTTTTATTAGCAACAGAGCCTAACAGCTATTTCCCCTAAAAACACAGGCTTTTCAAAGTTACCTGACCCAAAATCAGTAACATCTGCCCATTAAGGACCGCACCACCCCCCTGAACTTCTGAACAGTACAGCAGAGAAGTGACAAGCTGAGGGCAGGGCATTGCTTTGCTGGCCAAACAGCCAGCCTGCAGGTCTTGCAGTGATCTCTGTGCTCAGTATGGGTGACACAATACAGCCTGGGTCACTACAGAAACTTCTGGACACTGCCCTGTTTGACAGCAATAAAGATTTGGACTGGCAGGACTAACTTCATCTCAGCTGGTGACAATTAAAAATAAAAAAAAATACAAACGGAAGGACTTGTCAATATGTTCCCAATCTATTAAAGACAGACGACTGCAGAAGAACGTACCCAACACACTGGTTTAACGTACCTGTTTTAAGTGCCTTCAGGTAATCTCTCAGGGCCTCTCTGACTTTTGTGGCTCCTTCTGTTCTCATAAGGTCCTTCAGAACATCGCCTTCCCCTTTCTTTTTGCTAATGTTTATCTAGAAAGAGAAAAGTTACAAGATCTAAGAGGCATCTAACAACGAGCCTTTTGGGTTCTGGCAACAAAGGAAAG